TGTTTGAACCATGTATTAAAAGTAAAAAAAGAAAAAAGCAAAAAATTATCTGAAGTTGTATTTCCACAGATTTAAACATTGATAACTGATATTTTTTTGTAAACAAAATAATACAACCAACATCCATCACTATCATCACCAGCTTACATCTCCTACTAAAAGCACTTCTGATACAGAAGAGAGAAAACTTTTGCAACTCTTAGACTGAGAAAGAAAAGAAGTTTCAGATATACTCTTAGAAACAGAACAAAACACACACACAGATGTAAAGTGACTGCAGTAGTAAAACATGTTAGTCCTCTACTCACAAAGTGCTGGGAGTACAGTATGAGTAAGAGGAGACCCTTACCACTTGCAAAGACAGAACAAAATCAAGCCAAAATAAATCTGCATCTAAGGTAAAACATCTGCTTACTACATTTCAAATAAGCAATTTAGACAATGTAAACAGAAAGTATGCACTGCATTCCCCTAGATCGTAATCTAAAACCAACTATGAACAACTATACACCACTGCAGAAAACATGGGAAGAATAAAACCTCTCATCATTCCTATTTCAAATGCATTTTTCAAATAAAAACTACTAAATTACAAAAGCCTTTTTAATGTAGGGTAACACATTATATCCACAACATTTTCTAAAACTGGACTGTCAGAAAGTAAGCAGGATTTTGCAGGTAGCCTAACACACTAGCATCTACAAGTATTCTGAATGTATTCACTGCTAGCACTTCCCAATATAGCACAGTAACAAGGATTTTACAGACGGGTAAAGATGGCACTGTGAAGAAGTCTGCACCACTAATTTTCACAGCATATTCTAAGCAATTCTCTCAGCCTTAAAATAAAACGGAACTGTCTCCAGATTACCACTTTTCCAGTTGTCCGTGAAACACAGTAGTTAACCAGCTATGGAAAAATCAGATGCACAGATATAACCAAAATATATCAAGAATAATTTATGCTTAAGAATTATGTACTTAAAAGTATGGTAATTCCCAATTTATTACAATAATTAAACAGCCGCCATCTATTTCCTTCTTTTCTTCTGACCTCTTTATCACCACAAAAATAAATAAGCAAATAAAAGCATAAGAAAAAGTTTTTAGCTTAGCTAGCTGAAGTCTTTAACAAGGAACATAGGCTTAAACCCTCAGAACTGTTAGAGCTTTTCTGGTCACTGTGCTAAAATAAGAGCATACTTTAAAAAATACTGATGATATTCAGAAAAAAACACCATATTTTTTGTCTTGAAGTAGCTCATTTTGTATTGAATAGAACTATCTCTCCATTTAGAATTTTCCAGCAGTTTACTGAAAAGTCTAAGTGATTTAAACTTTAATAACTTTTAAGATAATACATATGAACTCCTCTTTCTCTGCCAAATGGAAATTGAGCCACCTAAACCAGGACATAATAATTTGGCATCCATCATTAAAATGTCATATATTGCACCTGTTTTTAAAATATTTTATTATAATCCTAACATTCCAAGTATCCAGAGCAGTTACAAAGATTTTATATACCTGGAAACACTCAAAGTCACGAAAGATGAAGCTAATATGGAAATATTTACCTTATTTTACAAAACATACTACTCTTTAGTGAATTGCAAAATAGGTTTTTTTGATGCTGCGCTTTGTAATTTAAATGACAAAGAGAACTTCCTTTCACGTTTATTCTGATAACACGTAAGACAGTACGGCAGCACACAGCCACCCGTCCTGATAGCAGTGCCACGGTCCCACACTCTGGTCAATGAGACCGATCTTTTTCTTGTGATGTCCTACTGACTTCACTACTTATCTGGACATAGGGGTTCTCACATGGGAATCAAATGACAAAACTGGGATATGAGCCAAGGGCAGGATAAGAAGTCTTTTACTGGATTGTCACTTAATCCTCTAAGGCATTTTTTTATCTCACCTATCACAGGAAACAGCACGATAGTTTTGACAGGCCTTTCTGTCCACAGCACCTGCAGTTGCTGGGCTGCAGTACCTGCTTTGGTCCTCACGGCAGCGTATTGTCACAGCCTGCGAAGCTGTCAGTACCTCTTTTGTGACGAGTCAGAAAACATCTCTCCACCCACATGAGGCATAATGCTATTTATGCATCATTTGTACTTTCATGGGATGTTTTCTCCTCCTAGAGTTTCACTTAGGAGGAAGGTGGCAGAGGAAAAGATATTTTATTTTTCTCATTTAAAAAATGTGTTAAGAAATCATAGGCAATAATAATACCATCATTCTAGTAAGTTTTTTGAAGGTATATTTATTTACTGGAAAATAAAACTAAGTTTGCAAGCATATTTAACATAATTTGATAAATTTTAACATATCTGTAACTCTGAACAACTACCTTCTCTCTCTCTCCAGGAACATACGCCTTCGATTTTTCATAATCTCACTCAAATGTACAATCTTGGTGAGAGGAATACAAATATTCTTAATAGAATAATACATGCAATTGAGAAAATACACCTCTGTTTTATCTGAAGTGTTTCTACAGATGTATTCACAGTATCTAGACTTTTTTGTTTGTCCTAATTTTCACACTTTGCAGTACTCTGTAAGAAGAGGGTGTGACAAAAGCAGGCAGAGGATGCAGGGTAGTTTACTGATTAATTTAGCAGGAGAGGCTGGAAAAGGCTGCACATACAAAGCATAAAGTAAAATAATACACAGCACTTGAAGGTGCAGAACCCCTGGAGACTGAGAATCCTCCACAGAGATTTGAGCTCTCTCTGGCTCAGCCATGCAACACAAAAAATGAAAAAAACCCAAAGTAGTCCCCCAGATCGCTATACAATAGTCTACACTGTCTTCACATGCAATCATGGTGTAAATCCAACTGGAAATCATGGGGAATTCCTAATCAGAAATACACCTACTTTCTGCAGAAATCCATGCAAGTAAAGAAACTGCGATCTTATAAGCCTCCAAGACGTTAAAACAGCTTTGTATTCAAAAATACTTCAGGGTTCCGACTCTCAACCTGCAACCCAGTAAAAATATTTGTATAATCAGTTTATCAAGGCATATTTTTGAAGAAAATTTCCATTAAAGTTCTGAACATTATGTAGTTACTTCTTAGAAGAGGATGATATAAATATGCCTATCAAGTGTCCTTTGCAATATTAATTTTGGATACCTCAGTTTAATCTAAGAGAACAACAGTAAGCATTCTAGTGTCATAGGCTGACTGCACATACTGCCAATACAGAAAAAAACTTGAGCTGAGAAAGTGGTGAAACCATTTAATATTCTAGTTCACCCACTAAAACAATAACTCAGACATTTGTTTTGTTTCCAAAATGCAATTTTCAGGTATCACATGAGGGAGAGAAGAGGAGAGACTAGAGACATATCCATATGAAATATATTTTTCAACTGTAACTGTAAACATACCTATCTTTTTTGTAGAATAGTTTTTATTGCTTGACTATTTTAGACCTATGCTAATACAGTAGCATAGACCTGGATTTATCTTTCTAAGGAAAGAAAAAAAGAAAATAGATTGAAATAAGGCATCCTGAATTTTCAAAGGGCCCTTTCTTCTAATCTATCTGCTTGGATAATGTGTCCAGAGTGGCATTTTGTAATGACAGCAACTTTCCAACAAATCAATAGTTATTTAATTCCCAACAAGCTCTTGAGTCCATTAAACCTGATTACATTCACCCATTTCAGTTGGGTGCAGTTATTTTTCCTACACCGGCACTTAATCTATAACAGGAACTTATGAGAACTTTCAAAAGCAATTTCAACATCAATCAGCATAGAGTGAAAGGCACGATTTGCTTGTAATTATTTATTGGACAGGATGGCAAAGGGTCTGACTGAACTCTCGCGTCCAACCTTCATCCCCAAATTCTAATGGATTTAAAGGCCTGCTTGATGTGTTCAAGTGTGCTGCCATGTCTCACTGTATAGAAAAATAGCATCTGCTTGCATGTCCCAGAAGACAGTGTTTTTCAATACCTGATAACAGCCACTGTACAATGCTATATTTCTGTTTTAGACATATGTGTCTGATATTAAGCCTAAAGTGAAGAACACAACTCAGAGTCTTCAAGTACCAAATGGCCCTATATTAAAAAACCTGTTTCATGCTGTGACTGCCTCTCTACACCAGCTAACTGATGTAGTAAAGGAGCATAATGAAAATTTGCCTTTCCTCCACATTTAATGTGACTAATAGTTAGCATGACGCAGAAACGTCATAGTACATCTGTGTGTCTCTCTACCCTGTCTTAATGTCTTCTAATACTGTAAACAACAGAATACTTCTTGCTTAATTAGAGTCTGCATGATCTATTCAAAATCCTAACAGCAGAAATTTCAGTAATACCACCTCTTGCTAAAAACAAAATCAAAAGTAGAAAACACAGCAACAGCTAAATCTAGTAATTGCCAGTTAACTTCCAAAATACAGCGCTCTTGCCCTGAAGCAAGATCTTATGCATTCAGGGCTTGAAAGAATTAATATGAAGTGCATGAATATTCTGTGAAAGTGATATATTTCTATACACACAAAAACACAAACCCTTTTTCATTCAGTATGACACAGAACACATGAATTAATGCATATTTAACACTATTCATATTTGCTGTGCTAAAACACTTAACCTGAACACATCATGGTAAGTTACTTTGTCTTATGACCTGCCGTGGGAATGCTGACTCCCTCAGAAACCCAGAATGGATAGCAAATCCTCTGCCCTGTGGTCAACCTCGTGAAGCCAAGGCATGAATGTTAAACAGCAGACAAATCAATACAAGCAAATATAGCTCAACTACGCCATTTATTCAGCCATGAGAGATGTCAATACACAGATTAAGGTGATCCATCTTTTTGATTTCCTACTGTCTTCTCACTGACTACATGAGAGCTTTTGCCTGTATTAAAAGTGTTTGCTTTCTCAACCATAAAAATTCCAATTATTACTCTAAGTGCACTAGAGTTAAGTTGCTTGTTGGAAGCGGCCTCGCATTACCTGAACAAGTCCAGCGAAGTATGGTGCTGCCGGCAGAATCATTGGCACTCCATATGGATGTAGCAAAACTCCTTGAGACGACAACATGGTTTAAGTGATAGTATTACTCCCACTAAAGCTAAACACATCAATTGAAAGTTAGGGGAAAATCTATATACCAACTTCTTCCAAACTCAGAGCTAGAACCAAATAACTTCTGTCAGGGGCAAAGCCCACATCAGCTGTAAAAAAAAGAAAAAAATTGACGTCAGCAACTCTTAATGTTAAAATTTTCTTCAGAGACAACAGATAGAGACAACAGCTGCAAACCTAACTCTACCAAAAAAGGAAGGTGCTATTTTGGGACCAGCTTAAGTAACATGACTAACCAACTACTATTTATCAGTTCAGATTTTTAAGTACTATACACATACAGATCAAATTCTGTAGAGCTCTACCAATTAGAATTAATTTTCCTAACAATTCTGGCATATACATAACAACAGTTACTATCAGAAGCCATTTAAAAATAATCAGGTTTATCATGATTGCATAAATAAATGTTTCCTTGTAGTTATAAGCTGTTAAACGATATTCATGAGAGTTTAAACTAACATTGGATACGTATTCTGTTTTGATTAATTATATTTTTCTTGCTTATTTTGAGTATTTGAGTAAACTAATGCAAGCTAACTACTTCTATTAGTGTAAATTAAATTTTAATAGCTTTTCTAGCCTTTCACGACATCTATGTTGTTACATTTATCATAGCTTTTAAAAAGAACGAATTTGACTTTAGAGTATTTCATACATGTTCTTCAATTAAACTTGCACTCTTAGTGTAAGAGACAAAAGAGTGAAATTTAGGCTGTTTTCACCCCCTAAACAAAACAGTTTTGCTTTTAATGTACTACTTGAAAGACATTCTCTTCCACAGCTAATCATTTTTACTTTAGACAAAACAAATTTAGTCATTAACACCTGTTTCATGTGCAATGTATCTTCTATTGCAAATATGACTGATGACAAGAATTACAAATGAGCAAGATCTTTTTAATTCAATGAAGAATTAGTTAGTTGCTTAAAACTTCGTTACCAGTCAAAAAAAATAGAAAAAAAAATTAAAAAAAATTAAGTCCTTTCCTGCAGTCTTTGAATAACTAGGGTGCTTCACATCACTAATTTCAACTACTTCATTTTGTTGCGCAATTACTTTTCCAGATAACTAATTGCAGACAAGATTTGATGTGATACTCAATTCTTTAATGTCACATTTTGACCATCATGAAAGGTTTTCAGTAATTGATTCTCACGTATCAAGGCAGCCGTGTTGCATGACTTAGAAATCTACCTTAGCAGCTGCATGTTGGCCCTCATTACTATCAGCCTTAGACCATTTCTAACTTTAGATGTTGAATTGTGACCCTCCGTGGTGCTCTTTTGAGAGACTGCCAATGAAGACAGCAATTGTCACATGATGAAGTGATGTTTACCTAGTTCCATCTCCTGTTACAGAATCGCTTCACTTCTCTGGTGAGGATAATGCTGCTCACACTGGTTACCTGACTATGCTTCGCTATTAATCATATATCTTCCTCTTTTCTTATGAAGGAACAGAACCCTGCAGTTTAATTATTAAGCACACAGTAGGCCAGCACATCGAGGGTTCTGCCAAAAGATTTTCATAAATTTCAATGCAAAACCAGTTATTAACTTTCATACAGGAATATATAAACAAAGGTATATATATGAGAAAGCAAGTTGCCATTACAACTCATTTAAAAGTAACTAATTTCTAAAATAAGTTCATATTAACTATTATCTATTTGCTTAGTCTAACAGTGAGCTATATTTGTGGAAAAGCAAGATTTCTTTCACCTAGGAATCAAGATTATAAAATGGATTCTGCGAGTCTCAAATTACTCCAGTGAGACAACTGACAAACATAATGATTGTTAAATTGCTCTGTAAAATATCTAGTCTTTTTTTGCTTCAGCATGTATGTACTTGATAAAACGTTAGAAAACCTAAAGAGCAAGAGGATTTGTACAGCAAAGCACAGACTCAAGGGACGTTATTCTGTGATCTATTTTGGGACAGTTTTTGCTTAACAGTTTAATTAATTATTTTGGCACAAGGCAACGTGCTGACGAAAGTCCTGATGACAAAGTTGGAAGGTATTGTCAAGACTGAGAAGGATAAGAACATTGTTTATGAAGCATTGCTCAACCTCATGGACTGCATTAACAGAAAAGGGATGAAATTCAATAACACAGAATGTAAGGTCATCCTTCTGCTAAAAACAGAAACTTCAGTTCTAAACTCAGGAGGAAGAAGAGCAGGACTTCATCGCATCTATTAAAGGAATTTGAGCTGCCGGTGTGATGCAAATATGAAAGGCAAATTATCAGTGTTTCTTAATTTTATTTCTCAGTTAATTTCTTAGAGGTACTTCCAATAGCATATAGTTCTCCTCATCCACATTAAAAAAAAAAAAGGTCAAATTCAACGATGACAGCTGTAGAGAAAGTCTTTTCTGTGTTGTTCAGGGGAATGGAGCAACTATGTTGTAACGTGAACCTAAGAAAGCTTGATTTGTTTATCCTAGCAAAACAATCTGTGAACAGGGAAGAAAACAGTAGGAGGAAAAGACTGTTTAAGCTAAGGACAATCCTGACAAACTAAAAATCAAGGAATAACTAGTCATTAATAAATTTAGGCTGCAGTTATTTTTTTCAAGTTACTTTTTAAAAGTATTTTGGGGTCGGCTAAGTGAGGGTCTAGAGCAAGCTTCCAAATCCACAGTAACAAAAAAGGATAGCTTAGAACATAAAATTATATGAAATCAATAGCAGTGGTAGTCTGAACTCAGCAACTTACGGGGCACTCTTCCACTCCTTTGCAAGCAGTATAAACATTCAAGAATAATGAAAATATCAAATGTCTAAAAAGCACTTAGATTTACTATATTGCAGATTGTAATATATAAAAATAAACTTTGAAAATAAACTGTAGTTACCTGTTTTAACGAAAGGATGCTTTGCTTGCCTCACTACAACAACATGCTTCTAAATGTATAGCCGTATGGCACTCCAAATCCAAGCTCTGACTTTCTGGTTGGGCTCTTTGATGATGTCCCATGTGTGCACCAGCTACCTAAGTTCGCACAAACCTCTGTGAATCAAAACCACAGAAGTACAATACAGCTTTACTTGCATCTCCGCCCCGTGCCGAATTCTGAACTTACGCCAGTGCAACTACACCAGCTTCACCAGTTTATACCAACATATTTGTATGCCCTCCCAGCCATACAAAAAGGAAATTAATCTTAAGTTTTACAGTACACTCTTAGTTAGCATTAATGGGCACTCCTGTTCTGCAAGGATATATTGAACACATGAAATTTGACCATGAAGACTGATGAGGACTCGGAGAAGGAGCCACAAGTGTATTATACTAATAATTCTGTTTCACTTTAGCAGGACCTCTAGAATGATTAAGTTAAGCAGAAGCCTAAAAGTTTTTCCTAGGCCAAAGCCAGAGTGGTCAGTACTACGCACATCAATCGCCTGTCTGAAGCCGCTGGTGGTGACACTACTCACTCCCTGCCTACTCCAGGATTCTTACTCTCTGCAAAAAATTAAGTATGTGTGTGGGTGGAAAAGGGGAGATCACCTATTTTAAATAACTATACAACTTTCATTTCCATTACATTCTAGAAAATAATTATGCTGTTAGAAAAAAAAAAAGAAAAAAAAGAAAAAAAGACACGCAAAGCCATTTTCAGTCCGCTAATGGAGGGCATGCTTTTTTCCCAGGTAGCAGTTTCTCAACCCCAATTTCCCCTCCGCCCCCATTAAAAGTTTTCAAGAATTTTCTGAAACTGAAAACTGATTTTAAAAATAAAAGGCAGGACAAAAGGTCAAGAAAATAGATGAAGGCAGTTTTAAGTGTTAAATACATACACATGAATAAAATATACAATATTATTTGTTTCATTTCTGGAGAATTTTGCTAAAAGGCAGGTATTATTTATGAAAATGAATCTGCGGTTTCAAAAAATTAGCAGCAATATAAGAATTTAGTCTGATTGAGAACTCCCATGTGATACTACATGAATCATAGCTAAGAGGCTTGTACAATACACACCTTTTTAACATTGTTAATTGAAGATTATTTTTGTACCAATAATACCTTGCATTATTTGAATTGGTTACTGTAACAGACTCATTATTCTACACAGAAATTCACTGAACAATCAAACTTCCAAATTCTGACAGAGTACTCCTGTTATGAACTTGTCTCCTAGAAAGAAGTTGGTTTTAAAGGTGAACAGCATAGGTTAAGCAAGCTAAGGTAACAGTAGAAGGTCACAAAGTCTGTATTTCAGGGCCCAGCAGTCTAATGCCATAATCTTATGTTTTAGCAGACAACTGAAGCTACTGAACAGGAGAGCTCTAATAGTGATTTCACCGCAGACTTCCTAAAACGTCACTTGAAATGGGAGGGAAATGGAGACTGCTGCAACAGTATGGATGCACACAGAAAGAAATAAGCACCAGAAGTATGCCTGAAAACGGGGCTACATGTTCAGGCAGAACAAGAAAAATGAAAATTATGCAACAAGGCCCAAGGTTTTGATCCCACCTGCATGCAATATCTAAATGGCGCATTAGACAATTACCAAAATATTCCCCTAAGCAAAAGCAGATCACAGAATCACAGAATCACAGAA